GAGGAATCTAAAATGGCTGAAAGACACTTAAGGAAATGTTCAACATCCTTAGTCATCAGAGAAATGGAAATCAAAACAACTCTGAGATTTCATCTTACACCTGTAAGAATGGCCAAGATCAAAAACACTGATGAGGGCTGGAGAGATGGCTCAGCGGTTAAGAGCATTGCTTGCTCTTCCAAAGGTCCTGAGTTCAATTCCCAGCAACCACATGGTGGCTCACAACCATCTGAAATGAGATCTGATGCCCTCTTCTGGCCTGCAGGCAGACACACAGACAAGAACATTGTATACATAATAAATAAATAAATAAATATTTTAAAAAAAAGAAAAAAAAACACTGATGACAACTTATGCTGGAGAGGTTGTGGGGTAAAGGGAACACTTCTGCATTGCTGGTGGGAATGCAAGCTGGTATAGCCCCTTTGGATGTCAGTGTGGTGATTTCTCAAAAAATTAGGAAACAACCTTCCTCAAGACCCAGTAATACCACGTTTGAGTATATATCCAAAGGATGCTCAATCGTGCCACGAGAACATACACTCAACTATGTTCATAGCAGCATTGGTTGTCATAGCCAGAACCTGGTTACAATCTAAATGCCCCTCGACCGAAGAATGGATAAAGGAAAATTTGGCATGTTTACATAATGGAGTACTACACAGCAGAAAAAATAACGACAGCTTGAATTTTTACAGAAAAATGGATGGAGCTAGAAAACATTATTTTGAGTGAGGTAACCCAGACCCAAAAAGACAACTGTCACATCTACTCACTCATAGGTGGTTTTTAAACATAAATCAAAGAAAACCAGCCTACAAATCACAATCCCAGAGAACTTAAACAACACTGAGGACACTAAGAGAGACTTACATAGATCTACATGGGAAGTAGAAAGTAGAAAAAGACAAGATCTCCTGAGTAAATTGGGAGCATGAGGGCCTTGGGGGAGGATTGAAGAGGGTAGGGGAGAGGCATGGAGGGGAGCAGAGAAAAATGTAGAGCTCAATAAATATAAATTTAAAAAAAGAAGCTGAGAGTGACCTTGAGCTACTAACCCTCCTCTGTCCCACTTCCTCATCCCTGGATGCTATGATTACAGTTGTATACAACATACAATGTATACAGCATTTTAAGTGTTGTTGTTTTGTTTTCTTCCTCTCTGGTGTGGACCTATGAAGCAAGAGGCAGGACACAACAAAAATCCAGGCTGAATCTCAGGAACAGGACAAATGGAATTGACAAGGGACCTTGGGCATGTCCCAACTGATTGCATCCTTGTAGAGACATTTTGATTTTTCTTAAAATGGAGCTGGGATCTTGTCTGGAGTTTGGAGAACAAGAAGAGGAAGGCATCCAGGAAGCTCTTAACAGAAAGAAGCACTGGACTTTCTACAAACTAAATTTCAAATCTGTACCTTACTTTATCTGTTCCCTTAAAGACTCCCAACTCTGTTTCCAGCACCAAATATCCCAAACTTGAGTGGAAATAAAGACAGAGGGGTATTGAAGAGGAGTCAGAGAAACTCCCAGAAGGGGTCCTCGAAGTCTCCAGCCTTATCTGAACCACCCCTACACCCATCCCCAACCTCCTTTCTTAACTACCATAAATCTCCAAGGTTAAATGATTCTGCTGGCCTTGAGGAACTCTGTCTGCTCCCTCTAGCTTATCATTTTGGAGATCCTTCGCAAAGTGCTCAGAATTCAGGAAGTCTACCAATCACAGAAGAGAAGACACTACCCTCTAGTTTGCATCTTGTTGGAGAATATTCTCAGTGTCTTTCAAAGACACAAAGAATTGAAATCAACCTATCAAAGGAACATGTCCTACCACACAGTGATCAAGCACACCAGATAGAAAGTTCACTTGTTTTGTGGTAACACAGGTCACGACTGTGTCTTACCCCATTGGTGGGAGCTGGACCTCAGAATGTGATATAATTGACTATCATAATTGCTGAAAAAAAGAAGAATGTGATAAGTCTCAGGAGAGTCCAAGGCTTTGCAGGTTGCTCATACATGGGGTGTCAGAATGGGAGAGGTTTTTGGAATATTGACTATTGGCGGCTTATCCACTTTTAACAGAGGGAACAAATTTCTGGCCAGGTGTGGTGACAGGCAGAGGAGGGTGGATCTCTGAGTTCTAGGCCATCCAGGTCTAGTAGCAAATTCCAGGCCAGTCAGGAATAAATAGGGATCCTGTCACAGACAAGATCCTTACAATGTGAGAAACGGAAAACCAGACAAGGACACAAAAGACTTCAGGGCCCAGAAACCATTTTGGAACAAGATAAATAAGATTGTAAGAAAACTAAGAACATCAAAACTAAGTGTGATAGCATGCTTATACTCCCAGCACTGCAGAGGTTTATGCAGGAGGATCAGAAGTTCAAGACTATCCTTGACCACATAATAAAGCTGAAACTAACTGGAGCTACTAGAGATTCTGCCTCAATAAAAAAACAAGTAACACCAGCTGCAACACTTGGGAGAGCAGGCCCTGCGCCTCACCTGGGTAACACAACAGAGCCAACCTTGTTGGTGGAGGTATGGATGAGCCAGTCCCAAAGCTGTTATTTTTTAATATTTTTATTCATTTTACATACCAATCCTGTTTTCCCCATCCTGCCCCTCCTTCCCCTCCCCCACACCTTCTCCTTACCCCCACCCACTCCTCAGAGAGGGTAAGGCTTCCCATGACGAATCAACAAAGCCGGGCACATCAAGTTGAGGCAGGACCAAGCCCCTTTCCCCTTCATCAAGACTGAGCATGGTATTCTACTGTATGAAATAGGCTCCAAAAAGCCAGTTCATGCACCAGGGATAAATCTTGGTCCCACTGCCTAGGTCCCCACAAAAAGACCAAGAAACACAACTGTCACCCACATCAGAGGGCTTAATACGGTCCAATGCAGGCTCTGCAGCTGTCAGTCCATAGTTCACGAGCTCCCACTAGCTCAAGTCAGCTGTGGGCTTCCCCATCATGATCTTCACACACACACACACACGCACACACACACGCTCATATAATTTCTCCTCCCTCTCTTCGACTAGAGTCCAGAAACTTGGCCCAGTGCTTAGTTGTGGATCTCTGCATCTATTTCCATCAGTTACTGGATGGGGGTCTTTGCTGACAATTAGGGTAGTCACCAGTCTCATTACCAGAGACAGTCAGTTCAGACACCCTCTCCACGATTGCTAGGGGTCTTAGCTGGGGTCAGCCTTGAGGATTCCTGCAACCCCAAAGTTGTGAGCACGGGAGAGCTGTCCTCACTACTAGTCTGTCATGTGGTGGTATGGGAAGGTGAGAGATACCCCTCACCACCCCTCATTTCTTACCACCTACAGAGCTGACCCCCCCCCTTACCAGCTGCAGCACTCAGGAAATGGGCCCTGGCCCTCACCTAGGCAGCATGGCAGATCTGCCTGGTGCTCAGAGGGGAGGGTGACTCAGCCCCAACGCTACCAGCAAAGGAGAGCTGTCCCAGTTACTCATCAGACACATGGTAGCATTGGTGGAGGAGAGATGCCCTGAGACAGGTGGAGGAGCTGGCCCTGGGATCATAAGAACAGAAGGGCTGTCCCTTCTCAGCTGCAGCACTCAGAAGAGTGGCCCATCTACCTTACCTGAGAAATATAGTATGAGGAGCAGGTCCTTTTGTTCTTCCCGCCCAGCTAGCTTACACCCGAAATCATCACACAGAAAGTGTATTAATTAAATCACTGCCTGGCCCATTCTATCTAGCCTCTTCTTGGCCAACTCTCACATCCTGATCTAACCCATTTCCGTTCATCTGTGTATCACCACGAGGTCGTGGCTCACCGGGAAAGATTCAGCATCTCTGATCTGGCGACTTCATGGCGGCTCTCCCTCTCTGCCTTCCTCCTCCCAGCATTCAGTTCTGTCTTCCCGCCTATCTAAGTACTGCCCTATCAAAAGGCCAAGGCAGTTTCTTTATTTAATCAATGAAAACAACACAAATACAGGACCGCCTACACCAGAGAAACGCAATAGAGTTGTCCTAATGGTGCAGGTGTGGGAGAGCTGACCCTGAGGGTGTGGAAGCAGAAGAACTAGCAGTCCCCCCCTCCCTTGCGGCAAGAGGTAAATTATCTGGGGCAATGCTGGAGAGCTCACCCTGGTAGTGAAATGGGGGAGAGCTGACTGGCAGACCAACCCTGAAGCAGCCCAGGCCCAGAACTGGGGTTAGGACTTGACTGACCCCAACATTCACCCCATCTATGGTGTACTGGAGCACAAGAAGGAGCCTGATCCACAGACCCAAAGCTACAGGACCTCCATAACACAGTGCAACAACAGGACATGGAAGAGGAGTGTCAGTGAGGGCCCAGCATCAACAGTGTAGGAGAAACCAGAAGCCTCGAACCAACCAATGACTCTTTGCAATGAACACTTGCTAGTAAAGATATCTGGACAAAGGGGTTTACTGTGTGACACACTGTGTCACACTGCAGCTTCCATGATAAGATTTTAAATTTTTTCTCTTCCCCCACCCTTTTTTCTCTTAAATATTGTTTTATTTGTGGTGGAGCAGGGACAGGGGATAGATGCAAAGGGACAGGAAAATGAATGGGATCAAGATACATATGTAAAAGACACATAAGACAAATTTTAAAAAAGAAAAATCCAAAAAAAAATGTAAAATTTTATACTGGGAACTGAGTTTGATCACAACACTGTTGAAGAAAAAAAGTAAAAATCTCTTTATACTGAAAATTTTGAGTGAAACTGAAGTTTCATCAACACTCAGTAAGTTCAGTCAAGTGTCTCTAGGAGAGAGCCTGGACTTCAAGGGCAGTATGTCTGACTAGCATCACTGAGGCCCTGAGTTCAACCCCAAGTACCTCAAAAAAGTAAAAAGAGGTCTGGAGAGATGGTTCAGTGGTTAAGACCACTGGCTGCTCTTTCAGAGGTCCTGAGTTCAATTCCCACAACCACATGGTGGCTCACAACCATCTATAATGAGATCTGGTGCCCTCTTCTGGCCTGCAGGCGTATATGCAGACAGAGCATTCAGACCTTTAAAAAAATACATAAACAAATAAATTTTAAAAAATTAAAAGAAAATTAAAAACTTCCAACATCACCTAGAAATATACTTATTCCCAGGATGAATAACTAGCTATTCCCAAATATGAACAAACCAAAAATGAGCAGAAGTTGCTGGCCTGCCAGCTGGGCTAAACAGGAGCTAAGCACCTCTGAGGCCTGCAGGCTCTCAGGCTCCATGCCCTCCTGCCTATTCCTAAGGGCACTGGCCATTTGCCAAGTCTCTCAGCAGAGGAAGGGACAGGCTGAGTGGGGGTGCCCAGGCCCTCAGGTAACTGCATGACAGAATTTCCCCCATGTTCTGGAAGCACTGGCTAGCAACTCACTGAGAAGGAGTTTAGGGCACAGTGGGAGCTGAAGGTGACTGTCACTTCAGGGCCTCACAGCGTGGTAATCCAAGTGGTTGGTACCAGGGCTGTTAGACCCTGAAGTGAAGTGGGGTAGAAGGCGACCCTTTATTAATGTCTCTCAAATTCTTCCAGTTCCACACAGCCTGGAGTGACCCAGGATATAAGCCTGGACTCTCCGGTAGGAATCCAGCTATCTGTTCCTGATCGCCTGGTGGTTCTTGGGCACAGCCACGTATCTGAGCTTCCTCATGACGGAGGGCCAGCCCAGCAGCTGCTGGTCCCACATGTACTCTGGGGACAGCACCTTTGTAGGCTTGTGGGACAGCAGGTACTTGTTCAGATGACTCTCATCATGCCACACGGCCTCGATGCCATTGGCCTGGTCCTCCACCATAGCCTGATGGCAGGCCTTGGTGAGATGGTGCACATCCACCACTGACCCCCCAAAGAAGGCCCCCATGTAATAAAAGTCACCCTCGTCCCGGGGGATGTAGGCCCGGGACTTCGGCCGGCGCTCGTAGGTAAAGGCCTCTCTGCTGCTTCTGTAGAAGCCAGGATGCAGGGTGCCGAAGAGTGCGGAGAGGATCTCCACACCCACGTGGTCTTGGAACTTCATGTCCACGTCTGCACACACCAGGTAATCCACCTCATGCAGAAAGCGCCGCTCAGAGAAGTGGCTGATCATCTCCATCCTGTGCATGGACACATCCTGCCAGCGGGAGTAGTTGCGCACAGTCAGCACCGCCAGCTTCCGTCCTGCCCCCAGGGGCACCTGCGGCACCTCGGCAGGGCGGTCAGTGAAGACATAGTAGATGACCTTGTGTCCCACCATGAAGTGCTGCTCTGCTGTCTCCAGGAACAGTTTCAGGAACACCACATACCTGTGTAAGATGACAGAGGGGTAAGCAGAGGTTTAACACGGCTAGGTCAAGACTAACCAGGGCAGGGGCCCAGCTGCAGAAACCATGGCTACTCTGAGGCTTGAAGCAATAGCATCCCCACTCTACAGCTGTCCTGAGAAGTCTGCAGGCTATGTCTCACCTCACCCTCCTTTGTTGCAGAAGGGTGCAAATCCCGGCACATGTTAGCAAGGAACACTGAGGTTCCTTGGAAGCCCTGGAAGGTTTCAGCCAGGCAGCGGAGATGATTCCAGACCAGGGGTTCTAGGTAGATGCCCTGTACGTATCTCTTGTCTTGGCAGGCCCCTCAGCAGGCCACCTCTCCATGAGTCTGTCACCCTCCCACCAAAAGTGACAGCTCCATCCCAACACATTCCACATCCCATATCCTTGCATTGGCCTGAACAGAGCCTGTGCTAACAGGGCCCCACTTGCTAAACCCTGGCAAACTGGATGAATCTGTAAGGGCCTGGTACCCACATCCCTCCTTTGGGGTACCCTCCAGGCCCTGTCTCAGGAAAGGAAGGGGTCTCTGTATCCCAGATCTTCCTCATCAGAGACTTGAAGGTGCTGGGGACAAGGCACTCAGTAACTCACTATGTCCCTAAGCCTCATTCCACATTCACTCCACCAGAGGAAGAAATCATCTGAGTATGCAGGGAAGGGGAGACAGACACCCTAGAAAGAAGGGCAAGTCTATCCAAACCCTCAGGTCCAAGGTCAAAAGGCTTGGAACCCAGGTTCTGTATCCTCTCCCAGCCCGAGAAGTTTTCACCTGCTTCGGATGACGACTTCTCCCTTGATGACCCCCAGGGCCATGTGCCACCACCATGGGAATGGGGAATCCCCATCACCTGGCAAGTGTGCCAAGCCTCCCCACTTCAAGGTCAGAAACAGGCAAGTGGCTGTGTTCCCTGTGTAAAGGTGGCCATGGGGCCTCAGCTAGTTCCCTCAGAGGCCTTATTCCCACAGACAGAGCACCTGCCCACCCCTGGCAGGGCTCTTGCTCATGTACCCAGCAGCACCCAGACAAGGTAGTGTGTATGTCTTGTCACTGTGAAGTTCTCTCTCCCTAGCACTGCAGGACTTCTCAAGGTGCCAGGATCCCTCCAGCTGAGCCCCAAACCTGGCTCATGTCTGATTGGTACAAAGGGCTCAGAGCTACCCTTGGATCTCACCCAGCACTGCAGAGAAGGACAATGCCCCTTCTCAGATGCTGGCAGCACAGATGACTTCTCTTAGTCCCCCACAGCCTTTGGCACGGGACTGTTGCACTGCCCCCCTTCTATAGGCTCCTATAGGGGAAGCTTCTTGCCTGTGACCTGGAGTCAACCTGACCCAAAGTCTCAGGGCCTCACAGGTCTGTCACTCACTGCTCACAGGGCTGCGGGAAAAGGTTTCAAGCAATCCTTGCTGTCCACCTTGTCCTGCATCTGAGGACACATTAATGGTCGCAGCTCGGTTGGCATCCTGTTTCTTGCTGCCAGCTGTGGGGATGAGGACCCCTACCTAAAGTGTGTACTGAGGGATGTAAATGGCACCTGGCTGTGAGCACACAGAGAGAGGCAGCTGGCTCCAGAACGGGGACTGGCTGGATTCATTCCCCTGGGAAGGTGGTAGAGTGAACCAGCCCCACCCACACCGCATCCTAAATAAAAACTGATATGTGATATGCCTGGCCTCCACCTTGACAATTGTGTGTGTGTGTGTGTGTGTGTGTGTGTACGTGCCCATTGTATACATTCATGTTTCCTAGCCTGTGTGCCTGTGTGGAGGCCAGAAGTTGACTTTGGGTGTCTTCTTCTGTCATTTCTCTCTGTTCTTTGGACAGGGTCCCTTTTCTGACTGAAGTTCACTGTTTGACTACACTCCAGAAAGCTACCTGGATCCACTGTCTTTCCCCTCCAGCCACAGTACTGGGATTGATTACAGGGGCATGCCTTCATGCTCAGCCTTTACATGGGTGTTAGGAATCAAACTCAGTTCCTCATGTCCCTGAAGAAAGTACTTTACCCACTAGCCATCTCTTCCACTGCTTACTTTTTGATGGCAAACACGGTCAGTCCAATGGTGGTGTTCTTAAGCCTGAACTGCTCATTCAGGATGTCGATGTTGAAGGTCCCCTCCCAGATGATGGGAGCCAGCCAGGGAGTCAAGACAAGGACATCTTCTCTACTACATGGGAGGAGAGCAAGAGGAAACATGTGACCAAACATGTCTGCAGGAACCCTTCTCAGATTCCACACCCTCAGCTTCCCCCAGGGCTGCCACCATCCCCGAGTGTGGGCTGGGCCAATCAGCAGCAGCTCTCACTGACTACCCCAATCCCACTCTATAAGCAACTGAGTTTACTACCACTGCAGCCACCACATCTCTGAAATCCCTGGTGACAGAGACAGGAAACAATGAACAGAAGCCCAGATAGGAAATGAGAGCCAGAAGATGCTCGGAGCTCCAGATTTGAATCAGATGACCTGAACACTCTGCAAGGGTTAGCGAGGTAGGGCAATGAGAAGCATAAACAGGCTTTTGGTTTTCTCTGAGTTTGGTTTTTTTTTTCCCCAGTGCTGGGGAACCCAGGGCCTCGGGTGTGCTGCTGAACTATTCCCCAGAGCAAGCAAATCGTCCTTCTGTACCTTTACGACTCCTGCACTACACATGCACTGACTAAATCTACTCACCTGGGTGTCAGAACATTTGGCTGGGCATGGGTCTTCCTGCAAAAAGAAAACACAGGAGCTCAAGGTGACAGGAAGGTCACGGAGATGCATGTCACCGGCAGCTGTGCACCAGGCAAACAGATCTGAATGAGCAGGCACAAAAGGGAGGATGAAGTTGAAGACAGGAAAGACAGCAGTGCTTCCGCCCCGAATATATTCTCCCTTTATAGACAGCAGGGGGCAGCAGAGGCTGCTCTGGGCAGCCTAGCAAAGGATTGGACCCATCCACGTAGAGGTAAAGTCAGAGGCAACACAGCAACAAGTAACAGAAAGTTCATCTACTTAGTAACCCATACACACACACACATACACATGGCACACACAGTCATATGACAACACACACACACACACACACACACACACACACACACACACGACACCCACTCACCTAGACACAGCCTCTGAGTCTCCAAATTCCTGACTTCTGTGGCTCAGGAACCCATAGCTGTGGGAAGGGTGTGTACAGGAGCCGCTGTTCAGGGCACAGACCTGAGACCGGCTGGTTGTCCCCGCCTCCAAAAGGTACCACTGCACCCAGCACAGTGAGCAAACACGTTCTCAGTGGGGATGCAGGGCCACCTGACAGACTAAGCATCCCCACCTCCACTGGAAGAGAGGTGGCAAAAGGAAGGACCCTGGGGACCAGGTCTGAATCTGGATGCCTACAGCAGTTGCAGGCAGCCCCTTCTCCATGCCAGGTCCCTATTGCCCAAGGTCACATGAAGGACTATTCCCTGGCCGTGTCTACAGAATCCCCAGTAGACATAGCAGTGAGTGTTCACAGACCATCTGCATCTAGAGAAGGCTGCAGCTCACTCCCCAGGCCTGCCTTCCTCTCCTTCCTCAGCCCCCCAACACCGCTAGGACCAAAGACTGAGCGTCCAGACCCAGACCCCTTTGCTGAATCAGTTGAAGACAACTGTCCAGCAAGCAAAGCTTCACCATGAGGACAGGCAAAAGCTGGACCTGCCACCGTGGGAGTGGCCAAGAGTACCCAAATTGTTGCCGTGGTTGTGGGCATGCTCACGGCTCAGGGTCCCCAGCAGGGTCTCAAGAGCTGTTCCTCGCCAGCCTGGATTCTTACCCAAAGAAAACCAAGACAAACACTGTGAGGAGGATTCCGAGGTGAAGTGAGTTGTATCTTTGTCTTCCTGAAAGACAGCAGCACAGGATCCAGTTACTCACCCCCTTCTTGGGTCTGACCCCGGCTCCAGGCTTCTCCTGGGGTTCAGAGGTCATCCTCAGGACCACACTGTGCCCTATCTCAGGCAGCCCCATGCTGGCTGGAGCTCCAGCTGGCTGAGCACTCGAAGGGAAAAGAAAGTTGTTTACTTCCTGCTCCTGACTGCAGCTGCTCCCTTGGGCCCTCAAGGTTCCCTAGGGCTCCCATGTTCTCACACCACTGAGCACCCCTTCCCTGGGGAAATAGAAATGAACCAAATGAATATCTTGGGGTCACTGCGGCTCCATCAGAGGAGGCTAGGGCCAGCTCCCCCTCTGTCCCCTGTAGGCTCACAACCACACAGCCAGCAGTTGACCTGTTCTAGGACTTTTTCTTTTAACCTGCATGTCGGGAGATGTGTTCACAGGTCTCAGAGTGAGTGCATCACGGCTGAAGCAAATCTCTGAAAATAATGTAGTCAAACTAAGATGTTTTTGTGAAATAACTTTGAGGTGAAAAGCCCAAGAAGACATGCTGACATTTGAGAAAGGCACGTAGTTGAATGTGGAACCCTTTAAGGTCAGGGAACAAGAGCAAAGCAGCCCAATTGTTTTAGGCTGACTACTCTCTTTGTTAGGTTTGGTTGATGATCAAAGGTGACAATTCCTTAAACCCATTTCTGCCCTCAATATCCTGACATAGAAAAAAAAAAAACTACTAATGAATGGATATGCACCCTAAAGATTTAAAGCAAAGCTGAGTTGACTGATACTTTTTCATATATAAAAGTTTAGGTTTCCAAGGAGAAATCCCCCAGATTGCTCTCTGGACAGAGGAGAGGGTGCCTGAATCGGCCGTGGCCCATGACCATACTGATGTATATTTTGCTTATCACCATAGATCCTTCGTCTGGCGAAGGACGGCTATGCAGTCGGAGGCCCACATTGGAGCAACGGATTGAGCCCCCCGAGGTCCGGAGGGGGAGCGGAAGGAGGAGGAACATGAAAGACGAAATCAGTACTGCGAGGGATGCTATCACCCACTGATACAAGGGAACGGATCTGATGAGAATTTACCAGGGCCAGTCGGACTGGGACTGAACGAGGACGTGATCTAGCCAGATTCTCGGAATTTGGCCGGATTCTCTGACTGTGGCTGGCCCGGGGTCTTTCTGAAAAGCCATTGACTATGACACTGGGACCTGTTTCCTCTGCATATGCTGGATTTTGGGGATCCAGTCTGTTTGGACACTAGCCTTCCTGGACCTGGAGGGAGGGGGAGGGAGCTGGAGCTTCCCACAGGGCAGGAAACCCTGACTGCCCTGGGGGACGGAGGGGAAGGAGGGGGGGAGTGGGGGGAGTGGGAGGGTGTTGGGAGGGGGGGCGGAAATGGAAACTTTTATAATTTAATAAAATTTACTAAAAAAAAAAAAGTTTAGGTTTGTGACTCCTTTAAGATTCCTTACAAGATTATCTTTCAAGATAAGTAATAATAATTGGCCCTTTCTCTATAACTGCAAAAATGTTGCCTACCAGTAAAAGAACCTGACAAGAACACTCTGCTTGCCAGCACAGCTATTCTTTAGCAAGTTGTTGGGTATGAATGTATGTGGGTTCTTGGGATAATTTGTCTTTCACCCGTAATACATAAAATGTTTAATCATGTTGAAGAGTTCAGGCATAAGAAAATAAAAATGTAAAAATAAAGAAATATAAAGTTATAAGTCTAGGAGAATAAGAACAGACAATCAGCAGCTTTCTCAGCAGATCAAGGATCATTCATTCACAGTGAGCTATTTTCTCAGATGCTTGGGAAGTGTAGGTCATTTTACAAATGGCTGTTTTATTTACAAGGCCAGAGTGTCTCTCTACAAATTAAGAGCAGTGTCCTGACCATCCTTAATAAACAGTAGATGTGAACTGAGTTTAACCTTTAGGAGACAGAGATATGTGACCTCTGGGTCAGACACTGTCTCTGTTATGGGAAACTGGCACCACCAGAGGAGAGGCATGACCTCAGTTTACACCCGGAGGTACCAGGAGACAGTGGATAAATAAAAAGGTTTAATTAATGAGCTCTGATAATGGAGATTATAAAGTATGACAGTCAGTATCTGAAGATTTACCTGAAAACAGTGTAAAAGGTTTTTCCTCCTAAATTCTCAGCCCAGAAACCAGTTAATTCCAAATTCCTCCTAGACATTAGCACTCACTCCCTTCCCTAGGGTCTCCGTTGACCAACCCAAGGGTCAGGGCAAGGTTGTAAAAATTCCTTTACCCAGGGCTGGAGAGATGGCTCAGTGGTTAAGAGCATTGTCTGCTCTTCCAAAGGTCCTGAGTTCAATTCCCGGCAACCACATGGTGGCTCACAACCATCTGTAATGAGGTCTGGTGCCCTCTTCTGGCATTCAGGCATACACACAGACAGAATATTGTATATATAATAAATAAATAAATAAATATTTTTAAAAAATTCCTTTACCCAGACCTAATGCTTGGTGTCCTAACTATAAAAGGTGGGGTCAGAAGCTAGTCAATGCCACAGCCTAACAAACTCCATCTCTGGCTGTGGTCTCGGCTAGCTGACAAGTTTCTGTGCCCCGCGGTGTTTTATTTTTATTTTTTATTTTTAAGTTTGCTTCTGGTTTTCCTAGGATCTGGTTTCTGGAATAAAGTTTGCTTCTGGTTTATTAGACTTGGTGGTGTTCTCATCTTTGTGCGACCTCCCCTGGACCCAACAATGTGAGGGAGATGAAAAATTTTTTTTTCCTATGTTCATTCACTTAAGAAATGGAATACAACCGTTTTGACTCTTGTACTGAAAGATTCTGTTGGGATTTAAAAGCTGTGGAAAAGCATGAGAGGAAGGGGAGAGAGAGAGAGAGAGAGAGAGAGAGAGAGAGAGAGAGAGAGAGGAGAGGAGAGGAGAGGAGAGGAGAGGAGAGGAGAGGAGAGGAGAGGAGAGGAGAGGAGAGAAGAGAAGAGAAGAGAAGAGAAGAGAAGAGAAGAGAAGAGAAGAGAAGAGAAGAGAAGAGAAGAGAAGAGAAGAGAAAACTACCAGGAGAGTTTGTGAGTGCCTCTTTCCCTAATCCCCCTCAGACAGAAAAAACTAACTGCCCTGACTGCCAGAGCCTGCCCCCCCCCCCCCCCCCCCTCACCCCCCAGCTGTAACTAAGACAGAAGTTGATACTGGGGAGCAGGGTATTGCTGTGGCTTCAAGCAGAATGTGGGCTCTGCAACTCCGGACTAGAAAAGTGGTTGGACTCTTTAAGCTGGGTTTAATGTGCATCCTAGTGGGACATGGAAGACAGCAGTGCTGAGAGTGATATAAATCCAGCTCAAGTTTCAGACGGGAAGAATGTTAGTGGCCTAAGGGCCATTCTTGTGATATTTTGGCAAAGAATGCAGCTGCTTTCTGCCCTTGTCCAAAAAAAAATATGACCGAGGCTAAAATGAAGAGTTTTGGGTTAATGGTGTAGAAGAGGAGATTTAAAGTCAGCCTACTATTGACAGAGCTAATAACTCTTTAGTTAATAACTAATAAGTCTTTAGTAATCACTTATCGTGAAAAGGAACAAGCTGGACAAAGAAAAACACAAAATGTCCAGTGTGAGGAGAAAATGAGCACCAGGAGCTGTAATAAAGCTAAGTCCAGTGCTCAAGAAGATAAAAAGTTTAAAGAAAAGCCAGGTGCGCCTCGGGCAGGGGTGGGTCCTCACCCCACCTGCAGGATCCCCTGTGGCCTCCTTTCCTCTGCTTTTAGTTCCCATTTCCCTGTGGACACCGGAAGCTACCTGAGATAGCACTGCCGACTAGAAAAGGGAGGGGAGTGTAGAGAGGAGGGAAGCCTCGGAGGGAGCACACAGCATTTGTCCCTTGTAACTGTCCCGCTGAGGTCACTCACCCAAACACAGCTCCGCCATCGCTCCGCCGCACTTGCTCCAGCTGCCCACCACGACAGCATCGGGTGACGCGTGACGGGTGGCGGCAGGGAGGGACCCACTTGGGAACACAGACCCACACCCCAAGCTTCCAAAGGACAGCCGTTGACCAGAGGTTGGACTGATACCGAGAAGCTCCACCCCACCCGGCCTGTGACGTACACCGGTCGGTGCCTCTCCCATTGGTGCCTACCCCAGGGCATCCTGAGTCGTTCCTGCCTAGGGACCCTCAGCTTCTTACAAGGCCATTAGCATTAGCAGTCGGTTACACCCTGCAACTCCAGTGCGCAGGACTCAGATGCACCCCTCAGCCTCTCCAGACCCATGAACCTGTCCCAAGATCGAGATTTGTCCTCTGCCTGATAGGATCTCGGGGCTGGATACTGATACTGTACCCTGCATGGAAGAGGGATGGGGGCTGCGTAAGGACCATGGTGCCAGCAGGCTCTCTTTTCAGGCTGGTGCTGTTTCCAGGTCTGTTAGAGACCTCTTCACACTTCTCCTGATCCAGTTTCAGCAGGTGAGAACACAGAATCACCCAGAGGTGACAGGGTCGAGCAGAATAGAGTCTGGTACCCCCATATCTTTTTTTAATTCACGTTTCTTACTCCTCTGCCCTTTCTAATTCCTGTCAGCTAACTGCCTTCAGCCTCCTACCTTTGTTAAGCCTGGGCCCCAGGGCCTCTGGGAGCCAGAATACTGAGGCCTTAGGGCCTCCGCATATCTATCAACCTTTGCTTCTCTCCTAGGCGTTCCTTTTCAGGCTTCCAGTCCTGGCTGAGAGCTAGCTGGCCTGCTCTACCACAGATCACTTATGTCTTAGAAGACTCGAAGCCTCAAAGCTGTGGCCATACCTGCTCCCGCCAACCTGCTATATGGAGTCAGGAAGGCACCGTCAGAATTCTAGCAAGTTATTTTGTAAGTATCAAAAGACGGATTCAGAGGTGGAAATTTGTCTCGGTTGGGAGACTGGCTCTCCTAGAGTTCACAAAGCCAGAGTTTGATCCCAGTACTTTGCAGGTGGAGGCAGGAGAGTCAAGATTTCAAGGTCATCCTTGGCTACGTAGTGAGTCCCACCTCTTTTGAGGGGGGGGGGGAGAAAGAGAGATTAATTTAAATTTTATGTGGGGAAACAAAACCTCCAGGACAGCTGACATAGGGATGTGGGATAAAGCCTCAGGACTCACACTCCCTGATGCAGGTAGAGGAATGTAGCAGACTTTAGAACCCAGAAATAGACCCACAGATATCAGCTCACCGGTCTTCAGCAAAGGAGTCATGTCAATACAGCGGAGAAAGGACATTGCTGGATTGGTTGAACACCCGCATACAAAACAAACAAGCAAAACACTGCCCAGCCTTCATAAAAGTTAATCAAGTACACCTCAAAGACTTAACTGCAAATACAGTTCCTAGCGGACAGCTCAGGAGGAAAGGGAGACCGTGAGAGTTCTGGTGATGACCTTTTAGATACAACGCAAAAGGCGGGGTACATGAAAAAAGTGATTGAAATTAATCATTAATTAATCATTAATTAAAATTAATCGTTAAAAATTAAAAAATAATCATTCATTAAATGTTTCTTCTCTGACAAAGGAGGAAAAACAAGCTATAAAGAGATTGCAAAAAAAATTATCTGATGAAGGACTATCATCCAAAGTACATAAAGAACTCATAAGATCCAACCATATAAGACCAGCCAACCCTGCTGTGGTTACTTAACCAGAGTACCATCAGCTTTCGAAGCTCTAGAATCGACTAAGACACATCTCTGGGAAGGCGGTTCCAGGAAGTATTGACTGAGTGGACATCACCTTCCTGCAGTGGCCCAGATAGAGAGGGGTCCAGGGCAGAGCCTTGTGCATGCTTTCCTCCCTTAGCTTCTTGCTGGTAAGTGTGTCTCTCTCATGGCTGCCACTGCCACAGCCACGCTGTTGTCAACAGCGTCATTTGAGAAAGAAACACATTTCACTGACTACATTGGAAACATGGCAAAAACTACCCAAAACATACCTAAACCTTCAAAACAGTCCTGGGCCTTTTGGAATCTTTTGCTGATTTCTTGGTTGCCTTACAAAAGTAGAAAGAAAAAAAAAAAAGATGGGTGGTTACTCAGCCAACAAAACAAAAGTCTTTGTCCATTACAGGCAAGCACTGAGACTAGGTGGGCCAGTTTCTGATGATGTGGGAAACCAGGGCACCTGCAGAAAAACAGAGGAGATGGCTTGGTGGCTCACAGACAGCCAAAGGCAATTTTAACATGCCAAATTCTGCACTTGTTGGCTAATCAATGGACAACAAGTTTTATAAGGATGAGTGACCCCTTATCTGTCTTCTTGTGACCCCAGGAAATAGCTGCAGTTATCAACAACTCAGGGAATGTACTTGTTACAGGGTAAAGACCCAAAGACCACTCAGCACCACCAAAGTCCGAACTGGGTCTCTGCGAAGACAACCAGCAACTGTCTGGGGAGAAACACTTCTTACAGAGCATCCCCAGTGTATGTTATGGGGATTTTTAAAGACAAAGATCACAGAAAAGCTGCATCCTTGTTGGCAGTTTCATGGAGAAGCAAGCAAGTCGTTGAACAAGAGCCAAGAATATGCAGTTATTGGGACATTTCAACCCTGATTTTCTAGAATAGAGTTGGGTGCTTTCCCACGGGCCTTTTCAGGACAGGGGGTAGAAACCAAAAATGAATTCAGCTGAGACAAGATGGAGAAATCTTTACCCTGTTACAATACCCAATGGGCAATGGAGTGTAGCCACCTCAAGGGGTGCAGGATTAGCCCTGCCAGCAGGTAGGAATGTGGATCTTACTATTGCAATGGGCACACAAGCAGTGCCTACAGGACTTTGGGGACCTATTTTCCCCAGGCACAGTGGGACTGAAGAGTCCAAGAATAAGAATATAAAAATGTAGATTCCAGAAATAGGAATGTAGAAATAAAGGAACGTAGAAATAAAGTTGTAAGCCTAGGAGAATGAGAAGAGACTGTCAGCAGCTTTCTCAGGGGCTTAAGGATTAACTACTAACAGTAGGTTACTCTGCTTTACAACCCATAGCTCTATTCACAAGGCCAAAGTATCTCTCTGCAAACTGAGATCTACCTACGGGTATGAGCTGAGTCAACTTTTAGGAAATAGATATATGGCCTCTGGGTTACGCATTATCCCTGCTATGTGAAACTGGCAGCATCAAAGGGAAGGCACAGAGCTACAGTCAACACTATCTGGAAGTGCCAAGTTAGGCAATAGGTTAAGCACAAACATTAGTTTAACTGAAAAAAAATGAAGACTGTAACTGAAGAGTCCAAGAATAAGAGAATAAAAATGTAGATTCCAAAAATAAGAATGTAGAAATAAAGAAATATAAAGTTATAAATCTAGGGGATGAGAACAGACTATCAGCAGATTTCTCAGCAGATCAAGGGTCAGTCATTCACAGTGAGCTATTTTCTCAACCACTTAAGAAGCCTCCATTAGCCTAGGCCATTTCATTTTACAACTGGCTGTTCTATTTACAAGGCCCAAGCTTCCCTCTGCAAACTGAGAGTAGTGTCCTGGCCATCCTTGATGAATGACAGATATAAACTGAGTTAACCTCTAGGAGACAGAGATACGTGACCTCTGGGTTAGGCACTGTCTCTGTTGTGGAAAATTGGCACCATTAAAGGGGAGAAACAGTGACCATGGTGCAAACACCTGGTTTGACTAATGAGCTCTGATAATGGAGGTTATAAAGTATGGCAGTCTGTATCTGAGTTTTACCTTGAGATAGTGTGAAAAGCTTTCTGCTATCTTCTAAGTTCCCAGCCTAAGAACCAATTATTCTGACTTATCAACCCTCTGATATTTCTAGCAGTCCCTTTTCTGACTAATTGCAATTAGTCAGAATTTTCTTGCAATTAGTGACTTTCGCTGTAATCTACTCTAAAACATATTTTTTGATAGCTGCCTAGTTACCCATGGACATTAGAACCCACTCCCCTCCTTTGGGTCTACGTTGACTGACCCACGGGTCAGGGTAAGATAATAAAAATTCCTTTGTTTGGACCTAATGCTTGGTCCCCCTACTATAAAAAAGTGAATTCAGAAACTGGCATTTTGCCATCACCTAACAAACACCATGTCTGGCTGTGGTCTCAATTAGCTAATAAGCTTCTGCGCCCCGCGGTGTTTTTTATTTTTTTACTTTTCAGTTTGCTTCTGGCTTTCCTGGAATCTGGTTTCTGGAATAAAGTCTGCTTCTAGTTTATTAGATTTTGGTGGTCTGTCCCCATCTTTGCGCAGTCCCCCTGGAATCAACAGGATCAGGTTTGGCAGAAGGTAGTCTACAATCTAAGGGACTCTCTGCTGCTCCTGGTGCAGCTGAAGAAGATTAAACTGGAGAAATTAAGGTACTTATGTGTCCAGGTTTACTGAGTACCGGCCTCAGCACTCACTCGGCATTCAGAATAGGACTTATGGGACAAGCAAAGACTGGCTTGGAAATGGGATCTGAGGGGTAAAACAAACTGACTGACTTAGGCACATTTTTCCCACAAGTTTCTTTATTCCTTGGGGGAAGATGAACATAAGGACATAAGGCGTAAGGGCAAACCATCAGACACAAGGAAGGGTACGGTATAAAGGTAAGAGATAAGGCTAAGGTGTGATCGCCACAAAGCTTTCAGTTTATATAGGCACACAGACAAGTTAACAATACCATAGGTGGAAACAATGATATCAAGCATGCATTTTCACAGAGTCGCAAGAAACCGGTGGATCTAGCCAGGAGGCATCAGAGAGGGGGTGTGGCTGTGAAGTTTCCCTGCAGTTGGGAACACAGCCTTGGTAGCTATACTGACCCACAAGCTTGATTTGCATTAGCTTCTAGCTGGTTGAGTTAAAAGGAATCTCTTCTTTTTACTCCAGCAGGGTGCCCAGAATTTAGCGACTCAGGCCTTTTTCCGGTATAAACAGTTAATTTCCTGGGCTATGATCTTATGTTAATTGAAACCAAGGTAAAGGGTAAACACAGAATATTAGTAGCCTGTGAAGTCAGAGCAGAAGACCAGTAGATTACACCTTTCTGAGTCTGCTTTTAAAGCAGACATAT